TCAAAATTCGATTTCGCCCAATAGGGCTAAATATAGCGCCCAATAGGGCGGGAGGGGCGGTAGGATACTGTGACTATTTTATTATATTTACATTTTACACTCTACACTCTACAGTCTACACTACACTCTACAGTCTACACTACACTCTACAGTCTACACTCTACACTCTACACTCTACACTCTACACTCTACACTCACTATAGACTATACACTCTCGACCAAACGTCAAAAAGTTTTACGTTAAATCGTTTAAAAAAAAAAGTAAAAATACGGTTATCGTTCAACTTTTATATCGTATATACAACAACCGATATTGTTTTGGGGCAGCTTTCTGGGTCATATATTTTGATTTAAAATTGCAAAAATATATGTATATGTGTCTGTTTTTTTTGTTGTTGAATATAGGTGCAATTCCGAAGTGCAAGATCCATGATTTCGACCATATAATATTGAGTTTATAGAAGTTAAACCGTTTATAAATTGAAAGAATAACGGTTAACGTTCAACTTATATCTACACTACGTCTAACTTATTGACGATTTGACGTTAGCTCTCGACAGGCTATACTCAATAGAGTCACTCTCGTCTATACTCTATACTCTATTGTGTAAATACTACGAGTCTACAACTGTACGACTACATACTATTTACTGCACAGTGAACAATCTACAGGAAAAACCTTCTTTTTATTTTTATATATATCAAAAATGAAGTAAAAGTGTCCGACAGACCAAAGACACCCAGGGAATAGGGACATTTTGATATATTTGTGTTTCCTTTTAAAACAAAAACCAAAAACAAGCAATATTCTTTTTGGGGTTTTTTTTGTATAATTTTTTAACATCATTTCTTTCCCGTTCTCTTCTCTCCTTTTTTTTAAAACAACAAGAGTAAAGCCTCTTTCCTCTCATGGTATATTTTATTTCTAGAAAAAATCAACAGTTGGGGACCTTGGGCTTGGGGGTTTTATATTTTTGATAGTAAAAAAAAAGTCTTTTCCAGGCCCAGAACCCCAGGCCCCAGGTTGTCTCTGGAACATCGGACAACATGAACATTGAACAAGTGGTGAATCGAAAAGGCACATTTTAAAAGATCATCACCCTAATACTTAGAAAGGTCGCATTTAACAAGAATAAAATATGGTATCAGTTGATTGCTGATACAGAATCAAGACGGACTTCTAAACTTGACATATTTCTAGAGAGTAGATGCAAACAATATGTATAATTTTATACAGCAATGCACAAATTGCAAATTGAGTATTGACAGATGCAAAAAGGTACAACTGTTGTTGCAAATATACTTTTTTTTCAATTGTTTTTTTTAAACAATATATTTATATAAAGTTATAAATTTGTCGTTATATTTTTGTATTTTCTTTTGTGTATAAAACATAAAGCCAACCCAAAATTTGTGCGAACACACACAACTGACTATGTACTGCAAGTCTGCAACTCCCCTTTTCTTGCTATTTATCTAGAATATTCACAATTTCAATTCGACTTCCAATGTTTCAGAGAGTCGTGCGGACTGGTCGAAGTCTTTGGGGTTGTTCACGAAGTAATACGAACACAAGGCGTTGTTTTGTTTGATTGTTTAAAAAAAAAATTGACAAACACAAAACAAAAGCCAGACCGGAAATCGAAAACAGTCCCCGAATATAAATTTCAAAAAAAAAATCGAAGTTCCCTTCTATTCTCAAATTCTACCCGCCCTTGAGTCAGGCGCATAGGCCCTCAGGCCAGCCCTCATGGTGTATATCTTTCTTTTCTTTTTTTAAACGAGAAACTTGTACCGCACTGCACTACCGCACTACCACACTTTAGCACTACCGCTCGGGGGGGAAAAGGTCTAAAACTGTAAATACGACCACGATCACGAGGGTTACAGTCCTCAGAGGCTCAGACCTCAAGTCGTCAAATTCTTGGGGTACAGTATGTGCAAATACATGTAGACATAAATTGTAAACACAAACACAGCCTTTCTTTTGTTTTGTTTTTACAAAAACTGTAGAGTCGGCAACTCCTAATCGGGAAAATCCAGGATTCGCGGGGGAATCCGAATTTTGGAATATTTTTGGGTCTGGGACCATTCTCGAAATTTCAGTGCACAATGTCGAAAAATTGTGGCCAATGAATTTTGATGAGTCATCATCACATGACCCTTGCGAAACGACTAAACGTAGAATTAATGCGAAATCGCGAATAGGTTAGAGCTTAAAGTTCGTAGACATTAGGTAGACATTTAGGCTTAGTTGTAGACCTTTAGACCGCTACAGGTCTGTCGGAAATTGTATAAATAGGGTCGTATAAAAACTTGCAATCCTCAGACTTTAACACAAAGGATTAAGAAAGGATAGAGGAGGATTGTCAAGACTACTTGAATCGTAGACTTTGACTTGAGCTGAGCCAAGAATCAAATAAAGAATACTACCGAGAATTTTCGCCTAAGTCTTTTGGTAGGGTTTAGGGTTCCTAGAGTACTTTGTGGACTAGGATTTTTAGACTCAGGGCTTTTCGGGTTTGGCCAAGGATTTGTGGAACCCTGGGATTGCCGGCCACGATCAAATTGGGATCAGGACAGGAATTAGGGTCAGGGATCTTATAAAACCAAAAAAACAAAAACATTTTTTTATTTTTGGACAGAGCTATGCTTTTTTATTTTTTATAAATAGTTCGCCATTCTCGCATAAATAAATATTTAGCCTTCTATTAACCTCTCGTCGCATATTTCTTGTTCTTGATTTTTGATTTTTGATTTTTTGTTTAAAATATAAGCAAACATACAAATAAACGAACAAACCATAGCGGCATAGCCTCTCTAATAAAATACAAAACATATCGAGAATTCGAGAGGGATCCGAGGCGGGGATGCGCTAACTGGAAATTGAGAAACACTATGGAAATCCGGGTGCTTTCTACTCTGAAAAGGATTGGATCGAGTTTGAGTTTTGGACATAAAAAATGTTCAGTCAGGGACTCAGGGTACAATTGAGCTCAAGAGACCTAAGACATAAAAACCTCTTTATATGTCCCTCTTTGAGGGGTCTACCTCTTTATATGTCTAGTTTTTTTTGGGCCGACCCATATGTGAGTCGGGCCCTTTCGGGGGCCGGTCCATCAGCCTGCCCCTCCTCGGGCCGGCACTTCTGAAGTCTGAACCCGTTCGTGCATCTGTGTGTGTAAACTATTCACAACATTTTTAGCTTAGCTTGTAGTAATATCGAATAAATATATACACTACTATTTATTAATTTGTGATACAAGACACTTCGTGTGATTGTTGTTGTGTGAAAGTGAAATGCACGATTACGCAACCAACGTCAGGTGCCCACAAGTGTGCTGATTGCGACCGCAATATGCACAATGGCGAAGAGTATGACTCAATGGGTTACTGCTTGTCTGCAGATAAATGTCAGGCACCAGATTATCGTTGTGATTCTTTGTTCTACAATGACACACCGACTAAGCCAGACAACTCGACTCAAACTGTATCTGTAGCGATCGAGCCAGACAAAACAACACAGACTACTGAATATTTAGTGCCTTTGGTAGCCCCGTATCTGTCCCACAAGTCAGTCCCTGAACCTACCTGGTAGGGTGAACCTGACCGTGGAGTGTCTACCTTTTTATATGTCCAAAATTTTGCTAAGAACGGGAACTGGACATAAAAGAGGTTCGACTGATGGTTCAAATTGGAATCTATATAGGATCTTTTGGATAGCTCCATAGGTATACCAGACAAATGAGAGGAACGCTCAAAAATTCATATTTGACACTGATTTTCTTCTCTTTATACCCAAAACAAATAGGTCCAAGAAGGGTAACTTGATGACAAAATCACCCTTTTTGGGCGATTGATTGTTCATCTTTTTTTTATACCAGTTTTTCACACATATTCTTATTTTGCACTCTCAATTTTATGCATGTTTTTTTTTCCAGTACATTCAGACAGTCAGGCTGTCCGCTGCAAGTCTCTTTTTGTTCCCTCTCTCTCGCTCTCTATTTGTTTACTATTTTACTTTAGTAGAGAGTAGAGACGAGTAGAGAGCGAGAGCGAGAGAGAGAGAGAGAGTAAATAGTATATTTTGTTGCTATTTTTGTGAAAATGGGTTTTTTAATATTTATATATATATGTACTGTAGTCTGAAGGAAAGACATGCTTAAAGTATGAAAGTGTTGCCGCCCGGCCTGCCGCTGATCGGCTCCCAGCAGGACCCAGCCTCTGTGCCTCAGTGCCTCATCCGATTGACCGAGTCCCGAATACCCTTGACTCCCCCATCACTGGCGAGTCAGAAATATTTACTGAGAAGGAAGAGTATTTATTTTTGTCTTTTTAATGGTTTTTATGGCTTTATTTTAAAAGTATTAATATATATAGTATTTAAAAAAATATTGTCATGACATAAAATTTACATTTCTTCATTTTTTCTTTCTTTTTTTCTTAAAGCAATGCTCTGATTGTTCTCCCAGAGAGTAAATACAGGGCGTGGCCTGCTCTCGACTGTAAAATCTTTGTTTATTTGTTTTTTTTTATGTCGCTTTTTTATACAAAAACAAAACAGCTATTTTTTATACCTGCTGGGCTCTGCTGCTGGGTGACAGACTTGACAGGTCTTGGACTCTGGAGGCTGGAGCATGGACTTTGGAGCCTGGGGCCCTGGGCCCTGGGCCCTGTGGAGCCTGGAACCTATCTCTATGTACTCGAGTAGTAGAGAGAGAAACCCCAGAAGTAAAACAAAATCTGAAACCGATATCACGTTGCTGTCCTAATAATATTGAATATGTACGAAAGGATAGTTACACGCGAACTCACAGTGGAAACGAGTTAGACGATCAAGCGTGATGTGCTAATGGGTTCGAGAAGCTCGTTGTCAACTGTTATTGATTGTAATCTATTAGTAGTAACAACGCCTTCGTTGAAGGCGGTGTTCGGATTTGGTTTGGGGGTCTCAATAGTCACACCCTTTGAACAAAACTACGAGCATAGTTTGTATACATAACATTTAAAACTTGTCACTTTTAGGAGAAATTCAGATATACAATACAAATATGGCAGCATTCTTTGAAGGAGAACAGATTCCTAGCGTATCAAGGCGAAGGCATTCTGCGTTACCCGAGACAATTGCAGAGGGTTATGCACGTGCGTGCTCCATGCAGGCTGAGGCCAATTCAGTGTATGAATTCAAAGACCTATTCGAAAATTTTGATAGTAGTCGAGCACAAAATACGCAAAACACTTGTATAAATGAAGCAGATAGGACTAGTAGTATGAATTGTAACGTCGTGAGTGGTAACGGTATGGAAATACCTTTTAGCGGGTTGTTAAACATAGGTGCGTGCGGCGGGGATTTAGGTCGAGACGATAGCGTGTTCAATAACCAGATGGGGTCGCAACGTTCAGGGTTTGGAGATTTCGGCACTGATAGGAGACTAGCGATGGCAGCGTCAAATGAGAATTTGAGTTCGGTCGCAACTAGAGGTGCTCGGCGCGGGACTGTTAGCGGGTGTATTGGTTTCGATTTTAATCGTAGGGAGGGGTTCAATGCTAAAGTGAATCCAAATATTAACGAAACGCTGTTTCAAAAACAGAACGATGGTTTGGGGTACAATCGCCAAGCGCAGCTATTTGAGAATCATCACGATGCAAATGGGTACCCACTGCGAACCTCTTTGTCTATTAGAAGCTCTGGCGCCCAATTCAGCGGTTTGCACCAGTTTTCTGGTCTCAATATGAATAATAACTTTGGGATTGAAAACAGCAGCAATGACACTATCAGCAGTACCTTTACCAATCACAACAAAAGAAACAACAATCAGCAAATTAATAGCATTGGCAATAACAACAATATCAACAAAAACGGAAGTAGCCAAGGAAGCAGCGTCAACGGAGACTATATGAATAGTAGAACGAATAGTCATCATAGTATGAATAATTTGAGTCCGAATTCGAACTGGATGAATGGATCAAATATTGTAAACTGTAATAACACCCAAAGTAATCACAGTGCCAAGGTTGATCCTGAGATGAAATCTACTGGAGTCGGCTTAGATAGATTTTCACCGCCTCTAATAGACAGTAAATCATTAGAGGCAGGGTTGGGTGTGACAGACGAGCAGATGGAGATGTATGTGTCGGAGGCTCGAAAGATCAAAGAGCAACAACAACAACAACAACAGCTAGACAAGATCGCGGCAGCTAGAACAATGTCAAGAGAATCTCAACAACACTCGAATCAAGGTGATTTCGATTGCTACAATAGTGGGGGCTTGTTGAACGGAATGGATAAGCAGATACCCGCCAAACAAGAGGTTGTTGGCGGTCCTTCAGCAGCATACTTGAACAGGCGGCGGCATTCTGCTGCTCCCGTGCTGTTGAGTGGGAATCTCGTGAATGTTCCCTCGCGCTCTAATGGTTTAGATCTGTACAGTGTGAACGAAAGTAGTGGCCTTAATACATTGCAGCAGCAATTACTTTTCAACTCGCAGCATCATGAGCGGGCACAGAACTTCGATAACTATCAGGGTGATGGCGTGCAAGGGACCAGCAACAGGCTCTCTTGGAACGGTGTGAACATGGGAGGCTCAGGGCAGCAGGGAAATAACTTCAACACGAATCGTAATGAGAATCTAAGTGTTGTCGATACGCTAGCATGGCTGGAAGCTTCCGAGGGGTTGGATAGCGCTTCATCGGCTGCCGCGGACATATCCCGTTTGCACTTGAGCTATGACAATATGAATGGCGCTTTTGGGTAGGTTGTGTTTGACTTATTATCTCTAGCCGATATATTTGTTGTGTTTGACTTGTTTTCTCTAGCCGATATATTTGTTGTGCTTGACTTGTTATCTCTAGCCGATATGTTTGTTGTGTTTGACTTATTATCTCTAGCCGATATATTTGTTGTGCTTGACTTATTATCTCTAGCCGATACATTTGTTGTGTTTGACTTGTCATCTCTAGCCGATATATTTGTTGTGTTTGACTTATTATCTCTAGCCGATATTTTTGTTGTGTTTGACTTGTTATCTCAAGCCGATATATTTGTTGTGTTTGACTTATTATCTCTAGCCGATATATTTTTATGGTTTCCATGTACAGTATGCCAAAGTCTGGCGATCTCAAAAGATTGTGGATTTGTGAATTACGCTTGCCAAGTCGGTTTAGGGGATGGGCGGTTGAGAAAATCTCAATGCACGTGGTGCTATAGAACGCACACCAGAGGGACGTGTCAAATTCATGCTGTCCTTCACAATACACTATTACAGAGGGTCGCTTAGTTATTATAGTGATGGAATGTCGAATGCGAATGTAAGGAGTGCATCGCCAGCTGGGGATTTCATGGGACATACTTCGGGCAACTATATGCCAACACAAAGACATGGCGACGAAGGAATGTCTCCTACAGATAGCTTGCCCTCGGGAATGTCAGCCAGTAGACGCATGAGTCTCCCTTACATCAAGTATGCAATCGACGTTGTATATCTTTACTAGAAATTTGTGTGATCTCCTTTACCTCTGAGATCGCTGAGTCAGTCCTAATTTAGTCACCCCAAATATTCTCTCGCCAGAGATGTCTCTTTCGACTGTGTCGGGGATAGCATTCTCACATAAATACTCTCTATCTCATATATATATATATATATATATGTATATATAGATATTATACATATATATATATAGATATATATATATATATATATATATATATATATAGTGTGTGTGTGTGTGTGTGTGTGTGTGTGTATGTGTGTGTGTGTGTATGTATGTATGTGTAGTGTGT